AGTGTGAGGAGTGTCGGCATTAGGTCTTCTTTGTATTTCTTGTAGAATTCTACAGTGAATCCATCTGGGCCTGGGCTCTTCTTTGTAGGTAAGGACTTAATTACATTTTCAATTTCATTAACAGAGATTGGGTTATTCAACAGTTTTACATCCTCTTGATCTAGCTTTGGTACTTCATATGTTTCTAAGAATCTGTCTATTTCTTCTGTGTTATCAAACTTTTGAGAGTAGAGGTTTTCGAAATAGGTGTTGATGATCTTCTGTATTTCTATTGGGTCTGTAGTGATTTCACCTTTTTCATTTCTTATTGCATGAATTTGAGCTTTTTCTTCCCTTTTTAAAATAAGGTTGGCTAGGGGCTTATTGATTTTATTTATTCTTTCAAAGAACCAACTCTTTGATTCGTTGATTCTTTGGATTGTTTTCTTAGTCTCTATTGCATTGATTTCTGCTCTGATTTTTATAATTTCCTCTCTTCTTTTGGCTTTGGGCTTGACTTGCTCTTCTTTTTCTAGCTGTTTGAGGTGTAGCATCAAGTTATTTATTTGTATTCATTCTGTTTTCCTGATGTGGGAACTCAGTGCAATAAATTTTCCTCTGAGGACGGCTTTCATTGCATCCCACAAATTCCGGTAAGTTGTATATGCGTTTTCATTTTCTTTTAGGTATTGTTTAATTTCTTCTCTAATTTCTTCTGTGACCCACTGATTACTCAAGAGTGTATTATTCAGTTTCCATGTGTTTGCGGGATTTTTGCAGTATCTTTTATCATTAATTTCTAATTTCAGAGCGCTATGATCCGATAACATGCAAGGGATGATTTCAACTCTTTTGCATTTGTTTAAATATGTTCTGTGAGCTAATATATGGTCTATTTTAGAGAACGATCCATGTACTGCTGAGAAGAATGTGTATTCTGATGTGGGTGGAACATTCTGTATATATCTATCAAATCCATTTGTTTGCAGGTGTGATTCAGTTCTGTTATTTCTTTGCTGATTTTCTGTCTGGTTGATCTGTCCCTTGGTGTCAATGGCGTATTAAGGTTCCCTGTTACAATTGTGTTACTGATAATTTGAGTTTTCATTTCTGTTAATAGTTGTTTTATATAACTGGGTGCTCTGGAGTTTGGTGCATATATATTTAAGATAGTTATCTCTTCCTCTTGGAGTTTTCCCCTTATGAGTATGTAGTGACCTTCTTTGTCCTTTATGGTCACTGTTGGTTTAAAGTTCACATTGTCTGCAAACAGAATGGCTACTCCTGCCTTTTTTTGGATTCCTGCTGCATGAAGTATTGTTTTCCATCCTTTGACTTTCAGTCTGTGAGTATCCTTCTGGGTTAGATGGGTTTCCTGTAAACAGCATATGGTTGGATTTTGTTTCTTGATCCATTCTGCTAGTCTGTTTCTTTTGATTGGTGCATTGAGACCATTTACATTAATGGTTATTACTGTTAAATGCTGGTTTATTGTTGACATGTTATGTCTCTGCTGTTACATCTTTATCTTTCTGTTCTGTTTAATTATCTGCTTTGCTTAGTGGTTTTTTCCTTTGTGTATCTAAACTGTCTTTCAATATTTTTTGCAGGGTTGGTTTGGTGTTCATGAAGTTCTTCAGCTGTTCTTTGTCATGGAAGTATCGTATTTCACCATCAATTTTGAATGATAGTTTTTCAGAATACATCAGTCTAGGTTGGAAATCATTTTGCTTTAGGATCTGGAATACTTCACTCCATGCTCTTCTTGACTTTATTATTTGTGCTGAGAAGTCTGCTGTGATTCTGATAGGTTTTCCTTTATAAGTGATCTGTCTTTTCTCTCTAACAGCTTTTAATAATCTATTCTTGTGTTGGATTTCTGGGATGGTGATTATTATATTTCTGGGTGTAGTTTTATTTTGGTTATGACTATTTGGAGTTCTATATGCTTCACTGATCCTGATGTCGGTTTCTGATCTCCTGCTTGGGAAATTTTCAGGTATTACTTCTCTAAATATCCTCTTGACATCCTTTATGTTGTCTCCTTCTTTTTCATTAATCCCTATCATTCTTATGTTATTTTTCTTTGCATCATCTTGCAGTTGTTGAATTGTTGTTTCCTGATTCCTTGTTATTTTTAAAAGATCTTTCCTTTCCTGTTCACTAGCTGCAATCCTGTCTTCAAGGTCTGAAATTCCATCTTCACTTTCATTAAGGTGGTTTTTACAACTTTCAGTGGAGTTTTTTATTTTCTGTATATCTCTGTGCATCTGCATTAAGTATACTGTTTGTTTCTTATATTGCTCATCTAGGGATTCTATCTTTTTGTTTAGTTCCTCCAATTTTTTATCTGTGTTTTCTTTAGATATATTCAGAATCTCTTTCATTTCTTTTATCATTTCTTCTTTTACCTGGGAGATTATTTCAAGTTTGAATTTCTTTAAAGCTTCCTGGAGTTGCCTGTTAATTTCAGTAGCTATTGTGTCCGATATTTGAGGTGAATGGCATGTATTTTCTTCTATTAACATTGCTTCTAGGGTTTCTTGAGATGGGCTGGAGGTTTGAGGTTGTAATTTGGTCTTTCGTTTTGTCATTTTCCTATATTTCTGTGCTTCAAGTGTTATTTGAAAGGTTCCTCAGGGTCTGTTGGAAATCCCCTTCTATGTTCCCAGCTCCTGAGACTCTGGCACCCCATTACCCCAAGCCACTGGGCCTGCAGAACCAATGGCCCTCCTCTGCCTGTTCAGAACTCTGCAGTTCCAGATAAGCTGGGCCTCAGGGACACTGTGCGCCCACCTGCCCTTTGGAAGCTCCACAGCTCTCCAAGCGCAGCCGAGATGGGGAGGCAGATGTAGACGCCTCAAACCCAACTCTCCACTTCACTGCACCCGGAAGCCTGCAGGGTCCCAAACAGTCTGGGCTTTGGGCAGAGTGTGCTGAGCACTCACCACTGGCCGCGGTGCCTCTGGAACCTGCGATCCTCCCCTGCTTGCTTAGATATCCACAGTCCTCCAGACTCACGGGAAGGCTGATGCAGGCGCCCCAGATCCGCCCAGCCCCTCCTCTGCACACCGATGGCGAGGTGCGGGAGTCCCAAACAGGCTGGGCTCCGGGGAGTATAACATTGTTATATCTGGAAATATCACTGTAGTCTATTTATTTCAAATGCTTACATCTTTTGTTGATTTGTTTATTTGATTGGTTGAGGTTTTACCCATAAGCTTGGAAGATAACAGTGACACCTGATATCTGTATCTTGTTCCTGATGTCAAGGTGATTATAAAACACTGAAATCTGGGGCCAGGGATTTAGCTCAGTGGCATAAGTGCTGCCTGGCAAGCACAAGGTCCTGAGTTCAATTCCTGGTACCAAAACACAAAACAAAACAAAAAGAAACTCACTGAAATCTTAAACTTATAGTAAAAGTATGGTGCACAAGCCTGTAATTTTGGCACCTGGGAGCCTGAGGAATGTTTTGATTTTGAGACCAGCCTGAGTTACATAGTGTTCAAGGCCAGCCTGAATTGCACAGTGAGAACCTGTATCAAAAAACTATAAAAGAAAAGAGGAAAAAAAAATAGGCCGGGGATGTGGTTCAGTAGCAGAGCATCTAATGAAGCTGAAGCCTTGGGTTCAATCCCCAGCATCATAAACAGAAACATACACACCCACAAAAAAAGGGGAGAAAAAGATACAGTAACAATTTTACTTGGGAGGTTAGTAGGGTGAGACAGCTCCTGTGCTTTGCATTTTTGTGTAAGGAAACTGAAGTCCCAATTAAGTAGTAAAATGAAACTAGATACTTAAAATTTAACAGTCAAAAATGGCCAATTAATCTCTAATTAAAGCTTTTTTCACTGTAACCAATCAAGGATCTTGTCTTTCACATTGAGCTCACTGTTATGCTGCTTCAGATCTCCCTGAATCTCTTCCAGTGTTGAGTGTTGCTCAAATCATTAGTATCTGAATGCTCAAATAAACTCTGTTAAATGTATTTTGTCTAAAGCTTTTCTCTTAATAGATGTCATTTATGATTTTCAAATATTTTATCACCATTATGAAACTACAATTTTTAATAATTCCATCTCTGGATTCAACTGTAAAACAGTACTAATGGTAATATTTTCCAAACGATTGTAAACACATTAAACACCATCATTTCTTTATTTCAAAGAAATCAGGTATTATTAAATACAGTGTTTTGTCATTTACGTACATACTCTCAATATGTCAAAATACTGTAATACCAGTAACATAATAAAGCATCAAATGTATGTGCAGTGTTTAGACTTACATACACGCTTTGGAGTCCTGCAAAGTTGGGGTTAGAAGGCAAGTAAATCCTCATTAAGAAAAAAAAATAATTGCATGAGGACTTGTTTTCATCAGGATAAATCCTACCTCACACATAACTGTTTTATAGTGCTTCTTAATTTTCCTCCAAACTTTTCAGAAAAACATAATACACTGCTGAAACGTACATCTAAAATTTAATACATCATTCTTGATGGAAATGTTAAGAACCACGTGGCTAGAATCTTTTTTTGCTGTTTAAGTTCACATTTCTACCATAAAATTCTTAAGTAATTCTGAATTTTTGTTTTATTACTAACATCATTTAACTGCTAAATATCTTCAGTACTCATTTTTTTCTTTTTGTAAGTTACAAACTTAAGAATGACTTGCCTGAAGAGTTTCACAGAAAGGCAGCTGCTTTATGTTCAACAAACATACTTCAACAAAATAAAGTTGAATATGAAATAAATTATTAAGATAAATTAACTACAAATAGTTTATTTTGTGATAGGCATTTATGCAAATACCGGCAATTATTCCATATGAATATATGCATATTAACTAGTATCTAGTGTAACTATATTTAAATCAAAAATTTTCCTATATACAAATCTTTCTTTAAACATTACTTTTTTTTTAACCACTGTCAACTTTTGCCTCTTATGTACCAAAACAACAAACTGTATGCAAAGTAAAACTAAAAGTGTATTAACATTTAAAAATACCTGGACCAGAAGTGTTATTGGGCCACTTTTATCCACTTCTAGTATTTCACCGTTCTTTGTTCCAACTAAAATATGACCATGTCCCAATGATATGGCACGTATAGATGGGTTATCTTCCAAGAGAAGACCTGAAATGTTAAACGGAGATGTTCTTATAGATGTGAAATTACTATAAGATGCTATTTTGACAATGAAATCACATTACAAGGCTGTTTCCGCTGTATTATTATAATGCACTGTACCTCCCTCAATTATTTATTAATCTCAAAATAAGCACACTTGTACAGAATTCTCTTCCATCCCATATCCCCTACTACCATCATGACAACGACTCTTTACCACTTATATTAGCCCCTCCTTACCACTTCATGTTCCTCTTAGAGAACTTAACAATATTCTAAGCTAGATTTCAGTAACATAGCTATAAACATGATACAGACCCAGTTTCTGTCCCTTATGGAGCGTACAGTGAGCTCATGGAAGGAGCATATGGGAAAAGGAGCACATAGAAAGAGGTTTTCACCCATTTTGGGGGGAAGGAAAGGACAAGATAGTGTTTGAGATTTGAAAACTGAGCATGTGGTTAGGTAAATGAAGTGGGCAGGAGGAGAGAAGAACAAATTCTAGGCAAAAGTAATAGCATGGGAAAAGGCCTGGAAGTCAGAAAGAGTGTGGCATAGTGCTTTGAGGGAGAAATACAGTGAAGGACAAAGGGAAAAAGGGCCTGTGAGGTGACAGAGGCCAGAGGAAAGAACACCAAGGTAAAACAAGTGCCAAGTCTGAAAATAAATTCCTGATTGGTGATAAATATGATGCCTGCATGAAAGTTTTCTGGAAAATTACAAAAGTTAAAAATTAATACTAGTAATACTGTTCTTGGTTAATATTTTATCATATATATGACAGAAAATAGATTTTTGAAAGAACATTAATGATTGCAGAGTCAAGTGACTTCTCCCATTTAACTGTGATGTCCACAAGTAAAGGAAAAAATTAATTCGTGTATTTTATCTCAATAATCAATCACATTAATGAACAACCTATTTGTCTACAAAATAAACTAACCAAATCACCTTTAGATCCTGGGGCCAAAGCTGCTCTTTTTATAGCATAGGTCTTGAGACATCTTTCAAAGGAGTCATCCCAAAGAGCTACTACACCATCTTTTCCTCCTGTTACAAATCCCTGTGAAAATGAAAGGTTTCAGTTAAAAAATATAAATGTATTAAAAATAAGAGCTTTATATTTAAAAACTCAAGAGGACAGATACAGTCAAAGGTCAGTTTGTAAGTAACATGAATTAGCTAAGAATCCATTATGGCTTTCAAAACATCAACACAGAATCAGCAAAACTATTTAAAATGATAATACACATTATTCTAGGCTAGGATGTTAAAAACAGGTTCTAACTTGGAACCATGAGTTAGATCTGCCACTTTCAGCAAGTTACATGTATTCTCCTGAAGTGTTCTGTAATTTTTTTGTGTTTTGTTTTGTTTGTAACAAGGTTTTGCTATGTAGTCCAGCCTGGCCCTGAACTCAGTGTATCTAGGGTGGTCTTAAACTCACCATCCTCCTGCCTCAGCTGCCCAAGTACTAGAATTACAGGTGTGTGCCACCATGTCAAAATTTGGGAGTCTTAACTTCATCATTTAAAACAGGGCATAATAATGGTACTTATCCAAAAGCATATGGCGATTAAATATAATGCACTGCACAATTTCTCACATATAATAAATGCTCAATAAATATTAAGCTTTTTTTTACATATCAGATCTATATCATCCTGTGTTCAGGAGTTTGAAAAAAAGGACAAGCAAATCCCTCAAAACTTTCAGCCCACAATATAATTGGGCAGCAAAACCAAGGAGAAAGGTAATGCTCATTTACTTCTAAAATTGCTTTATATTCCACAATGAGATTATATTTAATTTAAAAATCTCTTTAGATTACTTACTTTTTCCAGTGCATGCATACTGAACACTGGCCCATCATGTGCTTTAACTGTTTTTACAAGAAAGACGTCCCTCCAGATACACACATCTCCTGTGGATGTTCCAGAAAAGGTCATCTCCTCAGTCCATCCGTACACTGCACACATCATGGTGTCGTTTTTCCCCAGTGTGCCTACATATCCTTTTCTTCCAATTAATCCTCCCCCTAGTTCATAAAAAATATTATAAATCATCACTTTCAAAATGTACGTAACTCTAAAGAAGTACATTTTCTCTTCTTCTGTTATTTGAACAGAAAGGCATGTAACAGAAGAACTAAAAGGAAAATGTGGGTCTTGAATTGATGATTTGGGCAATGCTTGCATGGCGGGTGTTGGCCACAGATTTCTGGATAAACAAGACATGGATTAAATTAGTTCTAAAAAATCTGCAGCATTTTTGATAATGTTTTCCAAAAGTTTCATTACACATTTAAGAATATAAAAAGGTACGAAAAAAATACAATGAACACCTACATATTCACTATCAAACTACAAAAATCTATACCAAAACAACTGACCATTCATGTCAATTCTATCTCTGTTGTTCTCATCTTAGTATATATTTTGAATCCTTAAGTAATATATTATACTTTTCATATTTTAGAATTTTTCTATAGCTACCACCCTATATTTATTCTTCTGCAACTTTATTCACCAAGGATTGGTCACAGATTTTTAAATATGCTGATCTGCAACTCTAGAAAACTCACTTTAATAACTATGTATCATTCCCTTATACAGCGGTACCTCAGTTCATGAACTGAATTCTTTCTACAGTTCTGGTCATAAACCCAATTGGATGAGAACTGAATCAAATTTAGTGAGTAGGTTACATTCAGTGTTGACTTCCTGGAGAATCTGATTTGCTTCTTGTCTGGTTTGGTTTGCAACTAGAATTATGGAAAGAATTAAGTTCATGAATGAAGGTACCACTGTATCAACTATTACAGTTTAGGTTGCGAATATTCCTGAAATGCCTCATGTGCCTATAGGCTGGACATTTAAAAGGTGATTAAGTAATGTGGATGCTATAGCTGATGTTAAGGATAGGGTCTGGTCAAAAGAGGCAGGTCACTGGGGGTGTGACTTGGAGGAAAGATATCTCCCTTTCCAACTCCTTTTAAAGACTTTGGTGGCACTTAGAAATGGACTAAATATATTTTACAATAAAGAGGTACCCAAGAGTCTTTCCGGGGTCAGAGGCTGAATGTTATAGCTTAGATAAAAAAATGTCCTCTAAAGGCCTCATTAGCTCATAAGCAGAGCTTTTAACAGGTGAGTATGGAGCCCCAGAGTTGCATTAAAGGCACAGTGTCTTCCTTCATCCCTCCACAGTGCGGAACTCTGCCTTAGAACCTGCTGATAATGTGCTGTAAATGTGAGCAAAATAAACATTTCCCCCCCTAGGCTTTGAGTGTTGGTTATTCTGTCTCAAAAGCAAAAACGTAACTAAGACATAAACATTCTACAGTTTATCCATTTTTTATTTAAGTTGCTTTTAAGGTTTTGCTACTGAAGATAATGTTGCTTTAAACATTCTTATAGGTATCTCCTCCACACAAGTATAGGAATTTCTTAAGGAATGACTACGGGTGGTCATAGTGTAAAAGAAACAGTACATAAATAAAAGAGGCATCAGCTTTTCCTTTCCAATTATTCTCCAAAGTTGATATACCAACTTACACTACTACCAGCAGTGAAAAGAGTTCCTGTTATTTCCCACTGTCAGGAACACTAGGGATTGTCAGACGAGGAAACGTGAAATATCAAACTTTATTGTGGTTTTAATTTGCATTCCTATTAGTATTGCGTTTGGTCATTTTTCTTATTACCTATTTATGACTATCTTTTGCCTATTTTTTTAAGTGAATTTATATAGTCACTCAAAAACTACAAATGCCACAAACTATTCAAGGCACTTGGAATAGAGTTATGAACGAGTAAAACAGTAAGAAACTTTTGAGGAGTTTCATAGTAAAAGATAGTCAATACGACAATGATGAGTGCTGTGGAAACAATGTAAGGGGACAATGAGAGGAGTCCATTTAAAGTAGGGTGCTTGAATACAAGCTTCCTTAAGATGGTGATGTCTAAACAAGAGGTGGTCACAAGAGGAAACCATGTTAGAATAATACTTCCATGAGAAGAAGCAGCAAATGCAAAGGTCTCAATGCAGGAATGTGATTAAAATTCTCAAGAAACAGCCAGTGAGTCTGGTATGGAATAACAAGGAAAGTAAAGGAGACAATACTAAGAGACTGGGTCAGCAAAGTGAGAGATCGCAGTGCAGGCCATTATAAGGATGTAAATTTTGCTCCACACAGGACAGAAAACACTTGAGTAGCAGAGTAACAAGATCTGACAAATGATTTACTAAAAGGTCCATTTTGACTTCTGGGTTGAAAATGGATTAAAGGAGGGGTAAGATTGAAAAAACCTATTTTACTCATCTGGCTAAATTATAAAGGAGATAAGGAACCAGGGTGGCAGCACAGAAGAAGAGAAGCCATCAGATTACCTATGTATTCAGTAGATCATCAAAACACAGCAGTCAGTTAATGGTGACCTTTCAAAAGCAAGTGGATAGAGTGAGGAGGGAACAAAACCAGGTCAGACTTATCTCAAGAGAATGAGAAAATGCAAACAGAAGATATACCAACTATTTGGAGGGGCTTTTATAGGTGAGAAGAGAAACTGATCAGCAACTGAAGTACAGAGCTGAAAGAGGGTTTTTGCTGAGCATGATGGTGCATGCTTGCAATCCTAGCACTTGGAAGTCTGAGGCAGAAGGATCACAAGTTCCAGGCCAGCCAGGGCTGCACAGCACACGTGGAAGGGATGTGCTTCACCACTGATGACTATGGGCCAAATCTTGCAGCCACTACTGAGCTTCCTGTTGGAGACAACTACCCTGATTTGTGCTGCAACTAGCTGCTGCTCAGAACCTGATGTGATCACATGTTAGGAGTTGGGGGCTCTGGTAGTAGCAGGTGCAACACACCTAAGTGGAACCTTGGTCCAGCAGCTGTCCTGTCTTTGGCTAGCTGCTGAACTTCAAAAGGCTGGGATTTCCAGAAGGACATAACAGGATCCATGTGTCCCTTGGATACATGGCTTCAGAGTGAAGCTAGCCATGGTTCCCCTCCCACTTCAACCTGCCAGGCCTATTCCCCACAGCAAGTTATTCTAAGAAACAATTTGCTCTTTTTTCTATAATTACTTATGGAATATTTTTGATTTTGTTGATATGGAACAAATATTTACAATCTGACCATTTACCAAAAAAGTTTTGCCACTCAGAAAATTGATAGCTTTTATGATCCACACAACATAACAAGTTCCTAGTATATAAGAACATGTCACTGCATTCAAAATCTGTCAGTGATTTCTCATCCCTGACCCCCACGGAACAGTCAAGTATCTCAGGGAGAGACTAATAATTCATAACTTGCAATTCCCAGAGTCTAGTTCTGGGACAGATAGCAAGAGACTCCATTTTAGCTTCAGAACTAAACCATCTTCTTCAGATTACCTCACCTATAACAGCAATGGCGAACCCTTCAGAACTTCCAATGATAACAAACAGCAGGCTCTGGCACATGTGTCATAGGTTCCATACTGCTGACTTAAAACTATGCATTTAGAGGGTCAGGCAAAGAGTACTTAGTCGGACTTTAAAAGTACTTATTTCCCCTTTGATTAATGAACTCTTTCAGAACTCTGGCAGTGAGAAAGGCAGAAATGCATATAAAAGCCTAACATTTATCCTCTTAGGGCTGTTTCAGGTTTACTATATATCCCATCAAACTTAAGAAAAAAAAATTACAGGGATACTAAGTTCTGCTTGCTGGTTATATATACTGTAATTCTAAGTGACTATAATGCCCAAATGAAAAGTATGTTTAAGCATGTGGAAATGAAATTTCAAATTCCAGGCCAGGCTGGGTGTTGGTGCATGCCTATAGTTCCAGCACGTGGGAGGCTGAGGCAGGAGGACTACCACGAGTTCAAGGCCAGCCTGAATGATATAGTGAGACCTTGTCTCAAAAAAGAAATTATACGTGTAAGAATACATTTTACTTTGTAATTACATACATTATGATCTGATGGATCTATGACAAATAAATCTGAAAATCAATTCATACTTCTGAGTTAAATTTAGGATATGTCTTCACTAAGCCTATCCTTTTCTGATATATATTTTACTTCTTCCTACATTTACATATTTTCTCTGAAAGGTTTAATTCTTTGACACTGATGTCATATTGCTGGGATTTATGAGTGTATATTCTATTTGGAAAGAAGATAATAGTTTATTTTATTTTAATTATTTTTTGTCTGAGACTGGGTTTTTCTATACAGTTCAGGCTGGCTGTGAACACACTTTGTAGCCCAGGCTGGCCTTAAACTTACAATGATCCTCTTGCCTCAGCCTTCTGAGTGCTGGAATTATAGGTGAGGCATCATACCCAGCCAACATCTTTTAAATTTTAAAATGTAAAGTTCTGGCTGGGCATGGTGGTGTTCATACTGTTATCTCAGCACTCTAAGAGGCTAAGGCAGGATGATTCCAAGTTTGAGCACAGGGTAGACAATTTAGTGATTTACGAGGGAGGTCCTGTCTCCAAGGGGTTGAAAACATGACTTAGTATGAAGGTGTGGGGCTCAATCCCCCAGACTGGGGGGGGGGAGCAAACCAATACATTCATACATTCCCATTACAAATGGCAACAGAGCATTTCCCTTTTGTATCATTCCATAGCATACAAAGAATTTTTATGTAAATTATCATTTAGATTACAAAATATGTATTAACAGGAGAAATCTGAACATCAACTGATTAACTTTATGTGTTAAATACTTTTGTGAATATAAATACTATTTAAACACATCTTTGTTTAAAATGCATCAATACAACAGTAAATCACTTACAAATAAACTTTTTTTGAGGAATTTTAACTTTCCAGAAAAGATACAAAGATAATGCGATGTTATTATATACCTTTCCATCCAGTTTCCCCCAATGTAAACCCTTTATACAACCATAATTGCTTTGTTAAAACTAAACAAAACTTTTTTTTTTTTTTTTTACCTATATTTATTAACTGAAATCCAAACTTCACTGAGTTTTCCACCAATGTCCTTGGCCTGTTCCAGGATGTGGTCGAGGACACCACACTGCACTTCTTTTCTTTTCTTTTTTTTTTTGGTACCGGTATCAAACTCAGGACCTTGCCAGGCAGGTGCTTATGCCGCTGAGCTAAATCCCCAGTCCGTACACTGTACTTTCACTGAATTTCTTAAAGTTCATAGGAGTAAAAGGAAACACTTCCTTACCTGCTCTACGCCAAAATTTCATGTGTTTAATTCCAGCAGTAATTAGTTTATCAGGCACATAGGGATTCATCTTTACAACAAAAATCTTATCTTTACTTCCTCTGAAATAAATATCAAAACGTTTTAGTTCTGAAGATAAATATATCTTCTAACAACATTTGGCACAATCGATACGTATCCTACCATGAATTCTCTGTTTTGAATATCTTATTACCCACTTGTCTCTCAGTTTGGGTAGTGAAATCAGCATTTGACTTTTTATCATTATTATGTTAACTCTGTTCAACAGATTCTCAAAGAGGGGAAGAATGAAAACTGAACTTCTGGATACCTAATATAGTATACAGAAATACAGTATCCAGTTACCTATACTGTGCATAGGGAATACTATTTGTAAAATGAATGAGTTAAAGAAATTTTTTATAATACTTCCTTCCATTTTATTTTTTTTGAGACAGCGTTTTGCTATGTAGATCAGCCTGGCCCTGAACTCATTTTGTAGCCGAGGCTGGCCTTAAACTCACAGCGATCCTCTTACCTCTGGAGTGGATTTTGGCATGTACCACCACACCCAGGTTCATTACATTTTAATACAGCCTTTCCAACTACAAAATTCCTTTTACTTGGGCATTATCTATGCAGTATGTGAAAGCACCTACGTATATTTTAAATGCCATAATATCTCACTTTAATACAAAGAGTAGTCTATGGCTACTAGCACTATCAATGATTTTTTGCATAACTAATACATACACATTGTAGAAAATTTAGAAATGAAGTATGAGGAAATAAAAATCACCTATACTTTCTTTGTGATATGTACTCTTTTCACTTAAATACACAATATAAGCATTTTAACATGTTCTGCAATAGCTGTCATATAGCGTTCACTCTCTGTAAATGGATAATTGGGATAATAGTTACTTTTAATATCATAAAAGTTGTTTAAAAAGTGGGTTCACAAGGTATAAACCTATAAAGAAATGATGAAATCATTCATGTTCACTCAATGGTAATACAAATGGCAGCAATAAGTCACATATTAACATATCAACATTGGTTTAATCAAAAACTCTTTAAAGTTCTAAGTAACTCTTGCATTTTGACATTGAACTTTTTCCATACCTTGCTATTGAAAGTTTCTCTCCTTTCCTCCAGTCCCACAGCACAATAGTGTGGCTATCATCTATTCCAACTGAAGCCAAACGTTTCCCATCGGCTGTGAAAATTACAGATGTACTCACTGACCAGTAAGATTCAGAATATCAAAAATATTCAGCATGTGTTCTAAAGGCACATGTTCTCACTTGACTGTGGTTTTTCTCCCAAGTTTTAAGTGCTGGAATCTTTGGTGTGATAGGTTTGAAATAGCAGAACTTTTAAGAGGGCTAACGTGAGGTGGTTATTATCACTGACGTCTCTGTCCTCAGAAGGGAGTAATGCTGGTCTCCTGGAGACAGTTCCATGATAGTGGGTGTTTACATGCTCCCTCCTCCTTGTACTCATTCATCATGTTTTGACACAGCCAAAGAAACTGTCACCAGAGGCAGAACCAATGGCCATGAGACTTGAAGTTTTTTCAGTTTCCTAAACTGTTAAGCTGAATAAATTTCCTTTCAAATCACTACTTGGCTTCAGGTATATCATTACAGCAACTGAAGATGAACTAATATGCTACAGAGTCACATTTAAAATTTTAAAAAATAGTGATAAATGTTAGGCATTGTACATAGCCGTAAAAAGAATGAGATTTATAAGATGGGAGGGATAATGGTTTGTTGAGTCATGTTAACATAGTTGCTGTCCTCTCATCTGACTCTGTTTACTTAATCAGAGGTGGGGGTGGGAAAGGGAGGGAAAATAATAGGTATATAAAGTGATGAATAAGCGTAATACCATGAATTTACTATTATATGACACCTATGTATCAAAACTTCACACTATATCCCATTAAACAAGCAAAATCATTATGGGTCTATTAAATGAGTCACTTACATGTGCAAAATAAATGAGCCAAGAAAAATTTAAAGTGAAGGAAAAGATTTACTTTAATTAAATAAATTTTGTGACATAAGAACTCAGTGACCACAAAAAATTAATCACATGAAAAACATATAGGTTAAAACAACATATTGTCATTGATATGATTACTTTCAATGAAGATCAATTATTTTAGTTGTTACTACTATCAAGTACCAAATAATGAATATATTAGATGAATCTTTGAGGCATGCTAACAGGTGTGCATGCGTTTACAGGTTACAAAGCTCAGATGACAAGGACTGTTTTTCTGCTGTGCTACACTTTTTGCAAACCATAATTAGTTCTTTAGTGCTACCACTACTATTTTTATTGTTGACTCACTTAACTTGTGATCCATTTTGGTTTCTTATATTCTTGTATTCTTGAAAGTGTATCTTTGGTATTTGTATTCTTGAAAGTGTGTATTTCTCCCAAATCATAATAATGGATAATATCACTTCAGTTGGGGCACTTCAAAAAGCACTAATTTAGTATTTCTTCATATAAAATTCTCTACTAGTGGTATTTTCTTCCCTCTTCTCAACACATTAACTTTCGTGGAAGACCTAGCTGTAAGTTTTTAAACTTTTAGATATAAAGCAAAATGCTAGCATGATCTGAAATTTTAAGACAGCCTGAAATTGTCATTTTATAGAAATGTCTAAAACAAATATTTCACTTTTCCCATCTTTAGTTTTTAGATTTCTACTCCAAGCATTTTTCAAAGTTTACTTTGCAGGTGTAAAACATCAAATGAAATAAAAATTTGTCCAAAGGAGAGATGTATATTACTATCAGATAATTTCAGTTCTTTTGCTGAAAAGCATTTTAATAGAAATATACAAATTTTAAATGGCATTAAAATTATAGCCACTAAGTTATAATTATAAACTACCACACTTTCATCACTATTTGATTAGATTAACAGTATACACAATACACATTCAATAAAAATCATAAAGGTCATACCTAAATCACAAGTTTGGGTAAAGTAGATTTAAAGTACTATTATTGCCTCTGTATTTTGATCATTTTTATTGAGACAGAAAATAGCCTTACCTGAAAAATCAACTGCACAGACACCATATTGGTGGTAGCCCTTTAATATTGACAAAGGTTTAATGGTCTCTGTATCCCATATGTGAATCGAGGGATCCCGACCTACCTGAAATATAATTTAGAAAGTTACTTTATATAAATAAATCTTTTATATGTCAGAATGAAATAAAACATTTTTCAGCCTTTATTTTCTACAGAAATTGATCAAAGAAGTAGATTGTATTAATGACTGATGTTTTTCTTCACCTTCATTCAAAAGCTAATGATGGTAGGCTCAGTGTTTCTAGGAATGTTCTAAAATTATGTGACTTCTAAATCTTATCCTATACTTCATCATTAAAGATAATAAATGCTTACTGAGCACTATTACTGGCAGGATTTCTATAGTAGACACAATGAATACTAAGGTATGCAGCTAACTTTTGCAAACTCCTAGGAAAACAGAATATTTTCAATTAAATAAATACTTTGCAATACGTACTTAATGAAAATAAAAAGATTGTAGATGAAAGACTTTATGAAAGAATGTTAACAGAGTTGACTCTTCAGAAAACGTACTACTAAGATTAAATAGAAAAAATATATTATAGAGTAGGATAATAATGTAAGCAAAAATTGAGAAAGAGCTAAAACTCCAAGCATTAAGTGAAACTCTAAACAGTATAGTACTCTGTAACTTTCTTTTAGCATGGTACTATGGTTTGGATCTTGGGTGCTCTTTTAAAGCCTGTTTGTTAAAGGTTTAGTCACCAGTCTACGGTATTATTTAGGTAGTGGGGCCTACCTTTAAAGGGTGGGACCTACTGGGAGGAAATCAGTGTACTGGAGAAGTGCCCTTGAAGCGGATATTGGGACTATGGGTCCTTTCTTCTCTCTTTTCCTGCCTCTTGGCCACCTTGAAGTGGGCCTCTCAGCTTTGCCACATGGTCCTCACCTGGCTCACCACAGGCCTAAAGGCAATGGGGCCAAGTTACCATGGACTGAAGACTCTGAAACCATGAGTCAAAATATTTTTTTTTCATCTTTAAAGTCTTCGTCAGAGCTATGGAAATCAGAATAATATACTTGATTTCTAATGTTTACTTATGGAGAGGCAATCTATCAATTCTTAGTTATTTCTCAAGATTTAAATAACCACTTTCTCTAAGACTTACTTTGTACATAAGGGCAACTCCTAAAATAACTAACATAGCTTTTACAGTTAAAAAAAACCCAACTAAAATCAATAAATGTTCCATTAACTTATTAAGCTTAACATTACTAGTGACTGGGTACTGAAGTTCTAGAAGCCACATCTATATTGAAGATCCTACAGGCTGGATAAACAGAACATGGTGACTGCAGAGATGAAATGTTGCAGGTAAAGCAAAAATTATCTTGGGGTATAATTAGTCTCTTTCAAGTCATTTACTACCAAATGTTAAGTCACTTGATATGTGACAACACTGTCGTGACTACTAAGTCAAATTTTTGGAATATACTGTTAAGTTTAGCAGATTTCTAGCTTCTACCAATCCTAAAGCTAAGAATTTTACCTTTGAAACCTAAGGAAGAACTTGCTCACTCTGCTGTAGCCCACCTACCTCAAGCCCCCACCAAGGTACAATATTTGGTAAATGCACTGATTTATAAATTTCTTTTGTTCTTTTGACTATGAAAGCTAATATAGCCTTTTCCACAGTGGAACATGTCACAGGGAAACATGAACCTGTGTTTATGGGTCATGACCATTCAAATTTGGCTCACAATAAACTCTTACTTCCTTTGGAGCAGGAGCTATGTTTTACTTAAACATGACTTTTAAATTTGCTTTCTTATTCAGTGTCTGCAAGTTTTGACACTGTTGATGATTCATAATACCATTCTGACTTGTTCTTTAGTCTTTGCCTCTCACTACTGAGTTTTCTTCAGAATTTCATTATATTACTTAAGCACAAACCTCCTTCAGGTTCCCTCATAAGTCCTCCAGAGTACTCTTATACTACACTTCTCGATTGAGATGTGTAAGTCGTTAAATAAATTTTCCCCAAATCCTACTAATGTGGCTCAGTGCAAAGGCTCTGGGTTCAATTTTGAGGAAGGGAAGTGGAGATGAAGGGAAGGGAGGGTGGGAAGGAAAAGAGAAGAGGAGAAGGGAAAATGTGGAAGGGGAAGAGGAAAGGAGAAGGAAAAGGAGAAGAAGGGTGGAAGGAAGCAAGCAAGGAAGGAGCAAGCAGCAGCCGTGGCTACTGACGTGTTTTTGCAGTATGTACACCCTGCACTAGCTGACACCATGATTACAGAACATAAAACAGAGCAGAGTATTTACTGAAAAAGTATATTATTTTAGGAACCTCAAGAAAAGATTTCTTTCTTTTTTTTTTTTTTTTTGGTCTTTTAAGAAAAGATTTCTAAGCTTAATGTTTTCTATGAATTTTACTTACACATTTTTTAAAAAGTGTATCTTTATGAAAGAAAACAAGCTGAAGCTCTTAATTTCAAATCAATAATTAAAGCAATAAAACTGTGAAGAAAGCTATAGGAAACAAAATGGAACTGTATTGCTAATATGAAAATAAAACATACCACTTGAGATAATTCTCTACTGTTCATTTCCTAGGGCTGACCCAATGTGAAACTTAACAATGTAACCTACTAGGCTTTTAAAGGAACCTACCTGGCCTGTTGCCACATAGTCTTTCAGAGGATGAATGGCCAGACAAAGAATATCATCATCATGACCCAAGTAAAAGCGCTGTGTGTTCTGCTGCCGATTATAAATGACACCCACTGCTGCCACATGGTATACAATTTCACCAATTTGAGTATAAAATAAATTACTTCGACAGTCATAACCTCTGTATCTAAAACAGAAAGCAAATCATATATAATTAATTTTGGTCTTTTTTGACTAACACAAAATAGTCAATTGACAGTTTTCAGAGATACTAAACAATTAAAAGAAAATAGCAATTTTGAATCCTATAAATTTTTATGAGCTTTGTCTGATTACCAGTATCTAAATTCAAACATAACACAGAAAAATAGAGGTACTGTGGTCCCTTGGTTCATGAACTTGATTCTTTCCACGATTCTGATTGTAAACTGAGTTGGACAAGAATCGAATCAAGTTTCACCTTAAGGTCAACACTGAACATAACCGTGTAGTGTACATACTAGTAGTGTGTATCTAGTATACTACTATTTGCATAAACATAACATTAAATCTGTACACTATAAAAGAAAAAACAGCAGCCTTAAATACAGCTAAATAGAAAGGCTGCCTTTCAACCCTAGAGGGAAAATGCTGTCAAAAAATCAATCTTTTTCAAAGTTCCTGGAAAGTATTATCAATCTGGTAAGAAAGTGAGTGCTAAGTGAGAGACACAAGAACCCAAATGGAGAGCCTGCTGATGTCAAGCGTAAGTGTAAAACCTGTATTGCCAGATATTCTACAATCCAGAAACTGCATTTTTCTGAAATTAGAACATGAAATTCAAAACATTCAGACAAAAACATTGTATCACTGAAAATTAGACACATTGGGGGAGATGATTACTTTTTACGTTGTAGAAAAGACAAAATGTCCATTTCTATAAATAGTGTACTTTCATAAGACAAACTTATTTTTGTTTAGTAAAAATTTATATAGTGTTTGTGTGCCAGACAATGTCACAAGTAACCACTAACACTGCCTTGCTGCTGATTAGAACTTTGTGAGGTAGCTACTTTACAGATAGGAAACAGCAGCACAGAGAGGACAGTGACTTGCTTCAAGTCACACAGCTAGTAAATGTAAACCAAAATTAAAACCCATAAATGAGAAATAGTTGTTTTATACCCATGAACAAAGTGTAGTCGAATACTATTTCCTGGAGCCTGTTGTCTTCTTTTAGAAGTAGCACTTTTTTGTTTCTCTTTGCATTGTTCTTTAAGCTGAGGTAGATCTTCTTTGTAAACCTATAAAAAATGTAAGTAGGAATACTGTTAAAAAGTATATCAGCAAAGGCATGTCAGTCAGGTTTTAGCAAATATTTTCAGTAACGAGGTACATTACTAAAACTTCCTTGAAAAAAATAAACTCATTTTCTATGTATTACAGTGATAAATGTGCTTAGCGTTCCTAGAAATTTCTATACTTCATAAGAGAATCGTTCGTAGTCGGGGTGTAGACTGTGACACAAATCTACCGACAAAAAAAAATAAATATACTTTGTGTATGAAGCACTTAACATAAAAGAACATTTTATACAGGTGTGCTTTACTGCTTAAACGGGTAGGACTCAAAGAGACACACTGTTTCAGAATAAAGCCACAAAAGATACAATAGATGGGAGACAATGCAAGAAGTAGAAAGTAGACTTCTCAGGTAAAAACTGTATGATAATTACCTGTCGACGGTAGGTGAGCTGTGTCTCCTGTTCAATTTCAGAATCCAGTTCTGGAACATCAGACATATCTGAATCTGATTCATCACTGTTAGAATCAGCCAGACTTTCTGTAATTTTAAAAAAGGAAATACCACTTGGTTAAATAAAATTCATTTTTCAAACCACATTGCAAAATTAATGATTAAGAGCTGAATATTTCAGCTGACATGGAGACAAGGCATAAAACAATCAAATGAAATTACCTATTCAAGTGACACAGATGTCAGTAAACTGTACTACAGATAATCTTCCTCTCCACTCACTGTACTCAATAGCTCCTTTAAATCCCTTCACTGGCTCCCCAATGACCGCTACATCAAATTTAAATGTCTGTGCAAATATAAGTGAATATAATCTACAATTAAAATGAAAATAGCTAAAAAGTACTACAGGCAACAATGAATTGACATTAGATAATATTTCTTTATTAAAAAACATATATAAAACCTAGATACCCATCTCCCAGAGGATACATTAAATATCTGTGTTGCTAATATAACTGTTTCTTCGCTCACCATTTGATAGATTAAACTGCAACTACAAGTACTTTGTATTCCATACTGCAACATCTGACTTTAAACATATGGACCTAATTCAATTAGACACTTCTGCTAATAACAAGCTATACTGTTAATTTATGAAGTTATCCTTCCATTATAAAGTTGTCATTTTAGACTGAAGAGTTATTTGATGGGAAAAGTGTTTAGGTGGTGCATACTACTTACCTTGGGGTGCTATGTGAAGAGCATCTTTTAGTTTTCTTTCAGGAATAAATTTCCACTGAAAGACAGAATGATCTGCTCCACCAATAGAAATAACCCACTGATAATCATGTGACCATCTGACATTAGTTACATGCGCTGAGTGGCCAAAATATTTTTTGAACTTGGCCCCTATAACAAAAATGTATCTTTAAATTGATAAACAAATGCCCACACACAAAAAACTACTTCAAAAAGCAATTAGTAGACACGAAGCATTGTATTTTCCTTTTATCTTAATTATGAACAAATGAAAAAATTCTGATTAGAAAACTGGTTGATGAGCTGATACCAAAAGATGCAAACATTTGCTCTACTGATTTAGAATCTAGCTGGTAGAAACTGCAAAAATATGAGGCAACATCTTACTGCTGAGAAAAGTTCAGGGATCAATGACTTCAATACTAATATAGTTGAAAATTCTGGTTTGAGACCTTTGGTCCTATGTGAAATTCAAAGAACTGGTCTAACCACATTTACCCACATTCTCAATCCAAGCACCCAGAAGATCCTTTAAAATTTTAAATCAACATGGGTGCACATATATCACTGTGACATGATGCTTTTAATTCCTTCAGGAAGATACCAAGCAGGGGAAATAGCTAGGTCAGGTGAATTTTTGAGGGGGTAGGCATGGGGAATCAAACTCAGGACTTTGTACTTGCCAGGCAGGTGCTATACCACTGAGCTATATTCCTGATCCAGCTGGGTCAAACAAAACCTCTAGTCCTATTTTTTTGAGGAGGCTCCAAACTGATATGCACAGTGGTTGTATCAGTACATTCCCAACCAACAATGGAGAAGGGTTCTGTTTTTTCCCACATCTCTGCCATTATTTGTTATTGATTTCTTCATAATAGCCACTTTTTTCAGAGAGAGAATTTTTTTGTTTTCATTTTTATCTCTTGAATGGGCAGTGATGCTGAACACTTTTTCATATATTTATCTGCCATTTTTACTTCATCTAAGAAGTGTGTATTCATCTCAGATGCCCATTTTTGCATTGGGTCTTTAAATCCGGGGGGGGGTTTACAAGCTTTTCAATACTTTATATAGTCTAGGTACTAGTTTATAGCAGCACAATTTGTAACAGCTGAATCTTGGAACCAACCTAAATAGCCATGATGACTGAATAAAGAAGATGTGGTTGATTTTTATGTAATTATGTACTACTGAGCCATAAAAAGGATAAACTAGAGACATTGACGGTTAAATGGACCCTGAAACCATACTCAAGTAAAATAAATTGGGCAAACATGTAAATATGGTGTTTTCTCTAGTGTGAGAAACTGAAAGTATAAATAAGAACCAAATTGTATAATAGATATTGTGAAATAGGAAGAACTTGTTCAAAAGGAAAGGGGAACAAGAGAGAGGAGAAGGGGAAAAGATGAAAGAGAAAAGAAAAAAATGAAAAAAAAAAGGATAAAATGGAAACAGTCTTGTAAATAAGGAAGGAGAAAGGTATTGAAAGGAAGAGGGGGAGGGAAATGGGACAAAAAGAATCAAAATATGCCATGTACAGGTACAAATTCCTTATGATGAGTATGATCATTATGTATATCTAAATTGTACCAATAAACTTAACACCACCCACACACATCTCACCCGTAAAAACCCAGGGCAGCTCAACAAGGCTGTAAAATTAGTCTAAGAAAAACCAGTTATTTCTAGTGAAAGAGATTATATGACAAATCATTCAGGAACTAGGCATATAGCTCAGTGGTAGTGTGTATGCTTAGTGTGCATGTGTACAGCCCTGGTTTCAACTACCAGAACCAAAATGAGAGGAAAAAAAGTCAAGTCAAAAGAACTTTTTTTTTTCTTTTTCTTTTCTTTTTTTTTTTTTATTTAAGGAGAAAAGAAAAAAAAAACAGTGAAGGGGTACAAGTTATACAGATTTACAGAAGAAAAAAATGCGCAGTAGGAAATCACTAGTTAATGGATTACATATTGCCATCTTAGAAATAATTGTTCAAGTCACAAAATTAAAGCTTGTAGAGTGGACATTCCAACAATGATACTGCAAACAGTTCTGTTCAATGATCCAATAAAACTCTGTGATATCATTTTCTATCTTATACACTTAAATATACATGCAGTTATATAGTTTAGAGCACTTTCTTTTCCTCTCTTTTGTACAATGACTATTACACATTTTGGGTTTCATTGCTCCCACGGTTCTTCTTGCTTTTTTGGAAGAGAGTAAAATCAAATGTGACATAACAGAACAGAATCGGTCAAGTCAAAAGGGTGGACATAATAGATAATATAAAAACATAATACAAGGTGATCAACAATGGTTACCATAATGCCTCCCACTATCTCTAATAGAACTGCCTATATCATTAGTTGTAATACAATTGAACAAAACAATAAAGAACAAAACCGACAAAACCAAAACATTGGAGACATTGTAGGTCTTCAAAAGTAGATAAACGTCAACGAGAATGGGCGTCATAATGAATCTCATTATCTTCTCAGCTGATGCTTAAACTTTCGAACCTGATACTATCCAGCAAAACAGAATAGAGGAACCTCAGTCAAAAACAAGATGGTGAGAGTAATACAGGGCTTCAAATCGAGATAATAGAAAGTCAAAGTGGGTTACTATATTATATCCTGCTATTTTTTCCCTTTAATTAAACGGACAAAAATAAAAAAGTAAATAATGGAGTGGAGATTGAGAAAAAAGAGGGCATAACAGCGAAACAGGGCAGATCAAAACATAACCATTTAAGCAGAATAGTGTTTCACCACCAGATAATTCCGACCCAAAAGTAGTTACCATATAGACTCTTTCCTTGAAGTCCTTGAGTACAACTTCGTATACTGTAGCATTAAGTATATCAAAACAATGTAAAACCATTTAAGAGAATGACAGCACTATAGAGTATTTAGAATCGACTAACAGAAAATGAACAATGGTTTCTGTATATTCTCCTTGTCTTTAAAAGGTTTTTGCTTATACTATCGTACATAATAAAATCCAATAAGATACAACCTGTTTAGACCATTGGAGACAGAAGAACAAAAGCTAGATGAGACTTCAAAACAAGATGGTACTAAATCAGCATTACCTATTAAGATGTCATTTTCTCCAAAATAGCTGTTCCTATCATCCAATCTTCTCTGTCTCATTTCTGTTGAGCTCTTTTTCTGTCAGTAGCTGTCAGTTTGTCTTCTTCATTTTGTTCTCTGCTCCATTTGTTGTGGCCTCCCCGCCACTATTTCTGGGTTCTTTGTATTTTTCTTTTTTTAGAATATCCTGCAATACTTTCTGTAGGGTTGAATTGGTGGTTGCAAATTCCTCCAGTTCCTCTTTATCCTGGAAGCACCTCGTTTTTCCATCCATTTCCAGGGACAGTTGTGCAGGATATCTCAATCTTGGCTGGAGATTATTATCTTTCAAAGCGTGAATTATTTCCCCCCATGCTCTTCGTGATTTGATGGTTTGTGCAGAGAAATCTGCTGTAATTCTGATGGGTGTTCCCTTGTAAGTGGTCTGTTTCTTGTCTCTTACAGCTTTTAATATTCTGTTCTTGTATTGAATTTCTGGAATTTTTATTATTATATGCCTGGGTGTTTCTCTGTTAGGGTTGTAGGTAGCTGGGGTCCTGTATGCCTCATACATATGAGTATCTTTACCTTTTGCTAAATTAGGAAAATTCTCCTGGATTATTTCTGTGAGTAGCTTTTGTAGTTCACTTGTTTGTGTCCCTACTTCTTCTTTTATGTTCTTAATCCTTAAGTTATGGCTCCTCTTATCATCTTCTTGTCTTTGTATTATTGCTGTTTTAAGAAGTTTTTCATTTCATTCTCCCATATTACAAGTCTGCCCTCCAGTTCAGATAGTCTGTCCTTAGTTTCTTTCAAGCTGTTATGCCAGTCTTGGATAGACTTCTTAATTTCTTGATAGTCCCTTTGAACCTGCTTCACATACTCAATGCTTTCTCTGTTTTCTCCATCAAGCAATTCTCCCCTCTTTTTCTGTTCTTCCATTCCACCATCTGTTTTTTCCTGGGTGGTGCTTAGCATTTGTCTAACTATTCTGCATACTTCTAGCTTCAGGTCGTTGATAACTTCATTCCTGAATTGGTCTATGAGGCTCTCTATATGGCGCTTAATGTATATTGGTGCGGTGTCCACTATTGCCTGTTTCTCAGAATTGGGGGCCGAGGAGCCTTTCTTGTTGCTTCCCTTCCCCATATTTTCTGTTCCTTATAAAATGCAAGCTTACATAGGAGGCCCGGCTTCCCTGCCTGTCAGCCACAGCCTGATCAAATTGCGCTGGCTAGGTGTTCCCGCCCACCGCTGTGCACCAGGGAGTTGCGGAGGAGGCAGCCTACGCGGGAGTCAGTCACTCCTCCGGGCCACCGTCAGGCTCTGGGATCTGGGTTAGGCCAGCCTACTGAGTCTGCCCGCAGCGTCACACAGGTCAGACACTTTTCACCAATCCCGTCTGAGAGGGGAATGTGTGGCTGGAGTCGCCACCGCGCCCTGCTCTTACAGGACTGCCCAAGCCCACAAAGTCCTCCGCTGGAGTCAAACTGTGGTAGGGGGTCAGTTTCTCTCACTCACCTCGCCACCAGTCAGTTTTCGTGTACGCCTCCTTGTCCGTCCTGTTTTCGACTCCGTTCGCAGACTCCCGTTCCCAGAGCTTCTGCGTGTCTCTCCTTGCCGAGCCGCTGTGGAGGCAGCCAGCCGCTGGGCGGCGGGAAACCCAAATCGCGGTTTCCAATGGCGCGGGGTCGAGCCTCCACACCGAGTCTTTTCTGTTCCTATTTTAGCACCAGGACTGAATTCTAAGTTGGTTTCTCTCAGCCCAGTTCGTTCCTGAGTCAGCAGAGCATATCTCTACCGGTTCATGTCTCCTTAGTCCGCATCATTCCTGGCCTCTGAGCCGAGCCTTTCAGAGAGCCTCCGGTAGTTGCTGTTGTCTGTCCGCCATGTTCTCCCGGAAGTCAAGTCAAAAGAACTTAACAATCTGAACCCCCAAACTTCTTATCCAGCTCTGGTGGATATCCATAAAAGTGAACCTATTATCACATTATTTCATGAAGTGACTCTGATTCATCAAGTTAGATATCCTCCAACATACTTCGAGAATTCCCTGTGATTACTCCTTGTAC